CAATGCTATCAAATTAATACTCAAATCTTCGACATACGAAATCCTAACCTGAAAATGTCCGGTCGAAAGAGCACCCGTAGTCACCGACTCAAGAGGAGACAAGAGTACATCGGTGGCCACCGTTGCTGCACCGCTACCTGACGTATCGACTGAAATTTTACGGCCAAGCAGAAGCGTGTCGCCTGCACCACCATCGGCAACGACGTCGCCACAGTCGCCACCCACCGCATTGTCCGCATCGTCTTCGTCCGAGCAGTGGTCAGCCAGCATATCGACGACGCTCAGCGGCGGTTCGGACCTCATTATACTGCCGCTGTTCAATCGTCTTAGAAGCATCTGATGATAGGCTTCTTCGAAGCGTTTCGCTCTTTTCCCAAGCAATGAATCCCGCAAGCCCGGCACGGCAGCAAACAGCTCTCGCAGTCGGTTTCGGCCACTGCTCACATCGTATATGGCAAGACTACAAAGTGGTTTACAAACTGTTACAAAACCGATCTTACATAATCTCTAATAAACACAACGGGTCAATGATAAACATTCATAACATAATGTAAGCATTCCGTCCATCAGATTGTAACCTCATCGAAACGCGACGAGTTCAACGATCGTATGACATCAGTGTCTTTCTTAGCATTGGTAAAAAGTTAACAACGGCATAGTTTTCGCCTATCAACTTCCCAACGTACACAACAGCTGCAAACGTAACGTTTACGATGTAGCCTTAACGATAAAGCCGAGTATAAGACACATGAACGAAACGATTCATCCGAGTCGGTTGAGCGATCTCAAAATAATGTTATGCAACTACAACTTTCCGAAACATATCAGTCGTTGAGTCAATCCCACATCAACGTTAATTTGGCTGTAGTGTCAAAAGCGCTTGACAAGTAACTCTGTTGAATCTACCTTTCAATGCTTCATACCATGATACGAAAGTCAAAATCCAAGCTGTTTTAAATACTGCATGCAGTTCTAAATCAGGGACCGAGACACACGTATATGCATGAGTGCAGAAAAGACTTCTGCAACGTTTGCTAAGAAGCACTAGCGTCCATCTCATCTTCACCTAGCGTGCATTTCGTACATGGATGAGTGTCTATGAGGGCTGAAAATCGTCCTGCATTATGTAGTGTGTCCAAACTTATTAGCAACCGGAAACATGTCAGAAATAACAGTGCACATACATAAGAAATTAAGACCCCTACACTGATTGTATATTTCTACATCTGAATAACTTAGGTGTCACAGACGAACGCCAATGGCCGAACTCTATGATTCAATGAACTGATTTGAAGGACATCTGTGATAGCAACAGAATGCAGCATTCATCGGGCAATCCACTGAAAGAAAATGTAGCAGTCTGGGCCCATCGCTTCGGCAGTAATGCGCATTAGCGCTGCTTCCGTAAAACAGTGGGAAAAATCGTTTAGGAGAGGTACCAAAATAGTACACTGGATTAAGGAGCGCAACAAAGACCCCCCTCCCCCACAAATCTTAAGTGAAGTGTGAAACAATACCCGTATCGATCTCTCCTAAGACACTTAATCACGTCAGTTCTTAACTGCGATTTCCTATCGCCCATGTATGACTGAATAGTTGGATGGAGTAGTCATACAGTCACAACCGAGACACATATCGATGATTCAACGATACGTTTCATTCTGACATTATGGCCATGCATTTTTGCCAAACAATGCAGTTCAGGAGATAGACCAATTACACTTGTAAAGAAGCCTCAATAGTAGACCCTTGGAGCAATTCGTATCTATTTTTATTCTTGTGTCATATATCCATGTGATCTTTCGTTCAGAGATTCTATCAACTGACTTACATGACTTTCATCCAATCGCCCATACCCTTTGCTAAGTACTTCTTCACAGCTAGCAGTACATTCCATCTATTCAGAATCATGCTTGCGTTTCATATATTCTCTTCCCTAATGGTAATGCTGGTGATTTTGCAACTCTTTCACAACAATTTGTTTGAACTTATCTACGGAAGTTCAGGACCGGCTACAAGAAATTTTCAAATTTCAAAGCGAACTGTTTTGGCAAGTTCTTCATTGGCGACATGGTGACTTCCCAGCAACGCCCGTTTGTCTGATGTGCCATCTTCTTAGGTACAAGGTCGAAATTAAAACCTCTGGCGAAAACCGTTTCAAGGTCCTGATCAACTGTCAAACCTCTGTTGGTCAGCTTCGCATACAAACATACATACATACATACACAAACCTGTTTATGGCGACAAGGTGATTTCCCACGAGAATCGCCAAATTCTAAATACCCTTAATTTCAGTAAGCTGTCAGATTTCTTGCGGAGTGCATCAGATTTTTCACATTTGCGTAGTCCCATGAATAGTTATCTGCGGCATAAAACTGCCTTAAAATTAGCACTTTGTAAAACAATTATGGAACAGTTTGAAAAACTAGCTTTTATTACGGGAACAAAGAGATATATCGAACGTTTCGCAATTTACATGTAGATGACATGTTTGGTGACTGCAAAAATAGGGGGGGGGTGAAATAAGTTTTCTTTTGAACATCTGAACAGTATATTTCCAAGCATCATTTTGTTCACGTTCGAAAAGGAGAACGACAGATCAACGCTTTGGGATTCATTAGTAAAACACCAGCAGCAAGGATATTCGATCACAGAATATAATAAAACGACATATACGCATCGGTATCAGAATTAATCTTTCTGCCATATCGAAAAAAAAGATACATTGATTAGGCCATTCTAACTATGGAAAAAATAAGCTACGGAAAGTAATTTTATGAACAAAGCTGCATCCGCCAAACGGTAAGATGCATATCACCTGACCATATCTTCGTAAACTGAAGAAAATTACAATATATTGCGCCTAAAGCTTAACTGAATATATATTCAACGAATGGGAACAACTTGCGGTCGACTGAGCGATCTGGAGACTCAGAAACCGATGAGACATAAGTGAGGTTAGGTCACAAGCTTCCCTGCTCATGTAGTTCAGTCTCCATCGATGAAACGGACAACACACAGGTTATAAATAACACCAAGCAGGACATTACTATCATGGTAGTATTTCCAGTTATCGTACGTCTGAACTTAACAGTTGCAGAATGCTTCGTTTAATTTTCTGAATGGTGAATACATTGATGGCGAACACAGTAATCAGTCTGAAAGAAAACTGGAATAACACCAGTCAGCTCATTTAAAAGAATTAAATGAGCAAACGAAAATGCCGCTCGAACACTACACAGCTAATTTTCAACTTCGACTTGCTTCACTTGTTTATCATTACCCTGGTGATGATGCTGTCGTGTAGCCTCGAAACCCGTAGGAAAATTAAACTATTTTTCATGATCTTCGTAAATCTGAACCATAGTTCGGGAAGCACAGCCAATTAACTGATATTCAGCCAGGCCAGGAATCGATA